TTTAAAAACTCTTCTAAAAATAATATGTTTAATATTAGAATATATGTATTTATTTTGATCCTCCAAATTGGGCATTATTATATAATAAAGATGATCTAATTTTTATGGTTTATTTGTTTTAATCTATTTAATTAACATAGTACAGTATCTAATCCTATATTGCTTATAGCTTTTATACCAATATTAAAAACAAAATACTCTGAAAAAAAAAGGTGATGCTGTAGTTACCAGAAAATTAAGTAAATTCTGCAACAGAATTATTTATAGTAACTGATAAAAAGTATGATATTCCAAGATATAATAATTTAACTATATATTATAGTTATTAAAATAATAAGTAAGTTCTCTAAATAATTTTTTACTATAAATTATTATAATAATTTCAATACAAACTAATACAACTTTAAATGGTCTTTTTTTTTTTAATATTTAGAAGAATATCTTGGGTGTAGCACCCATCTCAAACTTTTATTAATACTTAAGTAAATTGATATATGGCAATGCAATAAACATATACATATTACATATTAGTATTGAGACTAGGACTTTAGATATACAAACTATTTATCTATAGCTAAAACCCACCAGTAGTAGTTGGATCTGGTTTAAAGAAAATCTGAATATCCAGATATTATTCAAATATCTGATCATTATAATTTATAATTAAATTAAAACCAGATAACTATATATAATTAATCAGATATCTGGATTATATCTGAATTATATTTGGATTTTATTACTTATATAAGATTAAACAATAAAATAATAATATAAGCAAAGCAAAATAAAAATATTTATTAAAGAATAATCTTATAGATAATTTGACCAAAAGTTCCAAATATAATACTACAAACTAGCCAAATTTCAAAATTCTAATTTGGGTTGGTTTGCACCTAATTCCCAAACTCAATCATGTTTGGTTCAATTTTTAGTCTATTATATAATTATTGCCAAATTAAAGTAAAATTATTAAGCATTCTTAAATTCTAGAATTATAAATAATGGGATCTATTGTTGTACTAAATATGATTCTTGAAGTTCACTAATATAACTAAACAAAATAAACTTAAAAATTAAATAGCAAGTTTCATATATAAGCTTAATATTGTAAAATATAATCTTATAGTAGTATCCAAAGAATAATATTTTTTAAAATAGATAATACTCACTGCAAAAAATTCTCAATTCTGATAGCACACAGAATCGTATATAAACTTTGGTATTAAAATTGAATAATATAGTACATTATTCATAAATTAACTATTTTATTGATATTTTATATAGTATAAAATTTATTTACTATAATAGTATAAAAATCAGTAACATTAAAATTACTGTTTTTGTGAGTAAAGTACTCTTAGTGCTATATAGTATAGATTTTATTCTTAAATACTTGTTGTATACAAATATAGCATGCGTTAATTGTGATATTTAATTTTTTATATATAAAAAAATTTGTATCACATAGGTGTTTACTTTACAAAATACAGTATATTAATTACTATTATTAAAATTCATGATTAGTTATTACACTTATTTTGTTAAAATTGTATATTACAATCCTTTAACTAGTACACTTGCATTTAATATGAAGATTATATCAAACTCTTCTATTTCTTGAGTAGAGGACTATAAATACTAATCACTAGTACTATGTATTAATAGTGCTAGGCATCAAACAGCCATGTTTTAATAGTACTATGCTTAGTACTTAGAATCTCTATTCCTGAACATCTCTTATTATCAAAAAGTTTTGCTAGTCCACATTTGTATTTAGATTGATTAATTATTTGCATACACATATTTTACTAACTAGTTGCCAAAATTATAGACTATATGACTAATCTCTAGAATTGCTTTTTAGTTCAAGGTTTAATATTCAATTTGAGTAGTGAGAATCGATCCCAGCTATAATAATAAAAGTTGCCTATGTTGTAATCAGATAGATAATTTATCAACTAGAACTGATTAGCCTTAACCGAGAATAAGCATTATAATATATAAAGAAGTTATATAGCATGTGACTTTGTACTCATGCTCCTGATAACTTTTAAATCCAGAACTACTAACCCAAAAAGTTAACTGATCGAATCTATAGTTGTATTTAAATTTTGAATACAAAAAAAAATAATAATACCAAAAATGGTAAAGCTATATCAGAAGCTGTATAAAGAAGTGTAAAAATTTAAAGAAATTTTATACAACTTTCAAATTCATGTGAATAAAAACAAAATTATAGTGAAAAATTAGATAGAAAAAAAAAATTATGCAAACTTTCCTTTTTTCATAGCCCAAGTTTCCTATTACTATAACTTTAGGTTTAGAGTTACTAACCCAAAAAGACAACTAATAGATTTAACACAAAAAAATTGACACTGCCAAAATGTTATAATTGCATCAGAGGCTGTGGAAAGAAGTATGAAAATTTAAAAAAATTCATGCAATATTCAAATTCATATAAATAAGAATAAAATAGTACAGTTAATATAATAAAAAGTTGGATGGAAAAAAAATTTATGTGAACTTCCTCTTTTTACAGCCCCAAGTTTCTAAATACTATAAGTTTCTTAAATTCTTTTTAAGATTTGCAGATCAGAATAAGATAGAATACATAAAAAATTTATAAAAGAAACATGAAAAAGATGTTAACAAAATATTCGAATTCATGTTATTTATAACTTAAAAAAAAAAAATTCCTTTGCTTACCTTCACAACTTCTAAAGTTTTTTGCATCTTTTTGTATTCTTGTTAAATTTATCTTACTAAATTTTACCCAAACCATATACATACTTTTGATTATGTCTCAACCAAGTGAATATAATAAAACTTATGATAATAATAGTTTTACTGGTACTAATAGTGAACCTGATAAAATAAAAGAAACAATAAATGAGTCTTCTCAAAAACGCTCTACCAAAAAAATGGTAAACTACAAGTTTTAAAATATGAAAAATAGAAGTTGGATATGAGATTATTTTCAAGACTTACCACCAACTCTTGAATACAAAAAGCAAGAAAGTTGTGATGTTGAAATTGATAATAAAAATCTTCAACTGGAAAAAGTACTTGTGGTCAAATAGTTCATATACAAGAATCAACACGTAACTTAGCAACACATTTAGGAACTCATAGAATCACAGAACAAACTAATTCAATAAATTCTCAAACTAATCAGTCTAAAATTGAAGATTTATTTTGATGTTCCATAGACAAAAATTCTGCACGTATTGAGCAAATAGAGAAAGTATTAGTTACATGGATAATAGATGATTATCAGCTATTTTTTGTTTTACAAAGCCTAAGTTTTATTTGCCTAATTAAAGTATTAGATTCTTATTATGTTTTGCCATCTGATAAGCAAATTAAACATCGGATTACTGAAGTGTACAATCTTGTGTTTGCTTGGTTAAAAGAAGTCTTGGAGAATGAAGCTAGTTCATATTATTTAATGTGTGATCTTTGGACTATACAATTAAAAAGCAGAGTAATCTGTTATTTTGTTAATACAAAATTTCAACTACAAGAAGTTATATTAGCTGTTATTTACTTAACATATCCTTATATTGCCAATATTATTCAGGTGGTTCTTGAAAAAGTTATTGATTTATGGTAATTTGATGGTAAAGTAACTACCATCATCACTGATAATGCTGCAAATATGATCAAAACAGTATCTCTAATATATAATATCAAATGAATTCTGCTTGCAGCACACACTTTACAATTGGCTATTAGAAAAAGACTTAACTTGCAAAGAAACTTGTTAAAAGAGCAAGGTGCCTAATTGATTTTTTAACAGCTTCAAAACAGGCAGAATGGTTAGAAGAAGCTTAGCTAGTGTTAAAAAAATCAGCTACTGATATTAATGCTAATAAAGAATTCTATTTACATGCTATTGCTAATATAGTTACTAGATGGAATTCATCATATATTGCATGGACTAGACTAATTCAGCTTCATGAATCTATTAATATAATGTGTGCTATGATCCTTGCCTCTTCAGATAAACAAACCAAAAAAGAAGCACATTACCTAAAATCTATTATGCTAACATCAGATAAATAGGATATATTGATATGTTTAACTAATCTTCTAAAACTTTTTGCCAAAGTAATCAAATTGTTAGGTGATAGTAAATATTCTACTATAGGATTTATGTGGTCTGCTATTACAATATTAGCCCAAAGTGTGAATCTAATAATGTTAAAACTGTTGATTTAGATAATTTAAATACTATTTTTAAAGAGGTGAAAGATTTTACTATTTATTATGATGAGATCTCTGAAACTAAGACAATGAACAAAGAACATAAAATTAAAGTTAGCGACCCTACTGATTGTGATGAATTAGTTAAAAAAGTTAAATATAGCTTACATAGAGCATTAAATTTTTATTGGAAAAGCCTAACAGAAATTTTATTAGTCACAATTTTACTAGACCCTGTTGCAAAAAATGGAAAAGCTTTCAAAATAGGAGCATAAAAGTGCTATTTCAACTCTTTGAGATATTTTAAATGTTTACCCAATTATAAACCATCTAGTGATAATGTAAATAGTCTAGCAAATATTAAAGACTATAAATTTTTAGAATTTATATTTGGCAAATCTACTAACTCTCAAACTGAGAATGAAATTAGAAAATATTTGAAGATAAAAGAGACTAATTGGAAATTCGATTCTTTTAACTAGTGGAATAAATGAAAAGAAGAATTACTATAATTATTATTGTTAACAAAAAAATACCTTGAAATTCCTATCACCTCTATGCCAAGTGAAAGGCTTTTCTCAGCTGCAGGTAATATAATGTCTGTTAAGCGAACATGACTTGATCTATCTTTGTTTGAAAAAATGTTGTTTCTTAAGTGAAATATATCCTTATTAGAAGAAATATTTTACTAACTGTAAGTATTTATATTAAATATTACAGTATTTTATTTTAAAAAATTTCTATAGATATCATACAGTGTTTATCAAGAAGCCTCTTGTCAAAAATATGATATTGGCTTATTTTTCTTTATTATTTTTGGTTATTTGACAAAGATATTTTATATTAGTATATATATAAATATATAAAATTATTATTATTTTTTTTTAATATTAAAGTGACCACTTAGGCTCTTGGCACTTAATTAGTGCAAGCAGTTAGGCTATATGTCCGAAGACTTGACCAAATATTATATCGGTATTACAAGAGTACAACTAGCCACATATATAACTTTTGGTTATCTAATTTAAGTAGTCCGCCCAAAGGTTCTACACTAGCTGCCATACCTATAGCCTAACTAGAAAGCTATCTATTTAAACTCTTTGGTACTACCTCTGTCTCATACTTCCTCCTAATATACCCTTTCAGGGTAATTTACTGTTAAAGACTCTAAGACTTTAGCCAAACTAACACTCATTCCTTTCAGAATGGGGGGCATTTATTCTTGTGGTAAATCTAACAGAATGGTACATGTTCTACACATGTGCTCACCTGCATGTTCAGTAACATTTCGCTTAACTAGTATATGCTATGCTGCTGTTACCCAGTTTGTATCTCAAGCCATCTTTGGATACTGCTGCAACCTGGTTCATATCTCAAGCCACAACCTTTCTAATTTAGTTCTTTGTTACTTACTCTTGCTCTTGCAAGGTTTACAACAACCTCGGTACCCACATTCGAACTTCCTTCTTTCCCAGATTCTTTACTAGTCCCTCTCTTACTTCCAGCTGGCAACCTGGAAGGGTTTGTCTGCCCAGGCTCTAAGTGCCTCACGGTCACTCTTCTCTTGGTACATGCTTCCAGAGCACATGTTTTTTTCCTCTGGCGGTTTAGCTGGTATGTCCACCCACTAAAGGACCTGGTTGTTTGGTTCTCCAGTCTCAGTCTCTGGTTCTGAATCCAGCCTTCCTGTCATACTCTTAAAGATCACTGCTACTCCCAACTTGGAACTTGCCAAATGGGTTTTGGTTATTCTGGTTCTCTGGATTTATTGTGCCAAAGCTCCCATTTGAGATGGTATAACCAAGGTTACAGATACCTAAGCCCAACCGATGTCGATAACTGTTAACTGTATCATAGGTCTAATTTTCAAAATTGTCATCCGTGGGATTCGAACTCTAGACCTGCTGCTTGGGGGTGCAGCAACCGCACTACTTCACTAGGTCACCACACCCTTAAAAATATATAAAATTATATAAGAAATAAAGAATAATACTTATCAAATTTATGGTGCTTATTGCATTTAAAATATTTACAGTATTTTACTCTTATTGCTTTTATATTACTAGTAATAAACAGAATTAGCAAAATAGCAGAAAATAGCTCTTAGTTTTAATAATAAAGAAGTCTAACAAAGAACAATAACTTGAAATTAAATAATATTCTATGATTAAAATTTCTTTAGATAAGCAGGCTTCAGTTGTATTAATATAATGTTAATACTGTATTAATATTGCTGTATTGTATAAAAACCTTATTTAGCTTAACCATCTTATCCATTTAATAGATTGGAATTATAGCACAAAAATTTGGGATATACTGATGTTTACTTTGTAAAAGCCCCAGAACACTGATATCATATTTTCTCTTTTTTATTCATTTAATTAGTACAAATTTGATATTAGTACCTCTTCCCAAATATAGTAAATGAAAGATAATTGTTACTATAGATAGAGTATCTCATACTGTTTAAAATGTAGTGCTTATTACAAATATATTAAAAAAATCAAATATAGAAAATATAATTAATATAATAAATATAACTACTAATGGTATAAAAAATATATAAAATCTACCTTTTCACTTCAAAAAAAAATGCATTGAGTTCATAACTATGAAAAGCATGACACTCTAAGTAGTTATTGTAGTAACTCTTGCCTTATGCTTTTATATCCTAATTGATTGTAAGAGAAAGAGAGTACTAGTTTTAGTAATTAAGCACAAATCATATTTATATATATTATTAATTAGCGTTAAACTATTGATTACATCATAACAGATAATCAGAATCCCATAATTATAGGTTGTGAACTAAAATTTATGATTGGGATAGTATTAAATCCCGCTGTAACATACCTGGCAAAAAGAGAAAGATATAAAATATTAGTATTAAATTAGACCTTTGAATATTATAACCAAGAAGATAGATAATAAAAAAAAAGTATTTATTTTAATCTCTGGTTTTGCTGTAGCAAGTTCTAATCTTCAATATTTTGAACAACCTTTCCATACCTCTTTCTGAGTCTTTTATTTAAAAGTTTTGAAATTAGTTAGATTTTTTAGTTTTGATCATCATTCTATTAATTGCTACTGTTTTAATTTATATAGTACTAATAATTGAAATATAATAAAGAAGCTTATAAAATATCTCCACTATACTTTGAAAATCATAGCACAATATATAATTGAAAAAAATATTGCTAATGCTAATAATCAAGGTTTGTAATATTTCATATCACTCATTGAAATTTAATATTTAGAAGCACCAAAAGTTAATTTACCTTTTAAATCTGCATCTCTTTTTTAATAGAAGATGCAAACATTTCTCAGGTAAGAATACTATCCTTTTACATTATATAAAGCTTGAATAGCTATTTCACACCTTATTTTATGCTCTAATATCTGCACTTTATTTGGCAATAAGTGTATATAAAATTAGTAAATCTCAAGCTCAAAGAAGTACAACACATTTTTAGTCCATGTTAATTTCATATTTCAATTAAAATAAGCTAACCAGTTTTGGTATTAATGTGAGTAATTATTGGTTTGATTCTGCTTAAATATTTTTAGAAATTTTAATTTTATTCTAAATATGCAATAAATTTAGTTATTATATAACACCAAAGAATAGCTACATATCATTATAAGCATAATAAGTAGTATCAGTATAATAAAAGTAAATTACTACTATGTTTATAATTCCCAGAACACCTGATAAAAATTAACCGAATAATGCACTAGCTAATTCGATTAAGTTTGTGATTTCAATATAATCTGTATAATAAAAGCTATTTTGTATCATAATGATTGTTTTATTAATTATTATAATAATATTAACATTATTAAATTTCATTTTAATGGTTGTCTAACAAGTTTGTGTGTCTAGTTTGCACAAAATTTATGGATAAAGCTGTGCTTGTCAGCCTATAAACCTTAGCAAAAAATATCTGATATAAATTGGGCTTTTATAACAAATATATTGCAGAATAGTACTAATATTTAAAAAATTAAATCTGATCATGAATTTGTTGATTTATTTAAAAATAAATTTCAGGTTAAGATTCTAAACAATCAAAATTTTAATATATTTGTTGAGAATATATGAAGAAAAATACATGAATTATGATAAACAAAATCAAAGTAGAAATTTTATATAAAATATAAATAATGAAATATTACTTTTTTTATATGTAAATCTAAGTCATATATAGCCTTTAAGGTTCTATCTTGAATTGTAATTCCTAGTCAGGTTTTTCTCTTATTATTAAAATTTTAATAT